TGAGGAAAGGCCCGTGTGCGACTGAGCCGCACAGCGAACAGCCTCTTTTTTCATAGAACCTCATTTTTACTGGAGGGGAAAAAAAAAACTTGAAAGACAAACTGTAATTATTCAGACACGAGTAACTGGCAGACACTTCCTCGGGAATGAATGAAGTGAGCTCATCTCATCAAGGAAAAGGATTTGTACCCATCACCAGTGACAAAATCTGGTCTCCAAGCAAAATGAGAACTTGGGAAAACTTCCATCTGCCACTGGGAACCTTCACAGCATCCCAATAGGTAATGCCTTTTCTGACAAGATGATGTTAAGAAATGTGATTTTTATATGATATTTAACGAAATACGTCAATGTTTTAGAAGGTCTGCATAAGTCAGTGAAGCAATATTTTCCAAATGACCAATGCACGATGTTACAAAATTAGGCATGAATAAAGGTATGAGCACCATTCAAGATGTGGGACTGAATGCTTTTTAATGTAAGAAGATATAAAGATGGCCGTGATATGCTTTCAGATCCCCACAGTAACTAATCTTTGAGGAACTGCTACTTATCCAGCTTGGGTGTATCAAAGAATAGCCCCAAACGCATGAAAAGGATACTGAAATCCTCTTCCTTTTACCAACTACGTATCTGTGCTCACACAGATTTTCCACCCATACTTCAAACAGAACAACATATTGTGACAAACTGAATGCAGAAGCAGATATGAAAACTGAGCTTTCTTCCTCAATTAAGCCAGACATTAAAGAGATTTGCAAAAATATAAAAACAATGCCACTTTTCTCACTCATTTTTTTTTGTTGTTGTTGTGGAAAATAGAGTTATTTTGGCCTTGGGTATGGATGGGATGTCAAACTAAAAATCAAAAGAGCTAAAACATGGGGACGGTCCCTTAAAATGGACACATATTCGTAGCTCAGTGAAACTTCTGACCTCAACTAAAGTGAAATATATGACGTCCTTCTATGTCATGTTATTTCACAGAGTAGGATTTTAACCTCTCAGACATACTAACGCTAATGATGACACAGATGAGAGCTAACGGATGCTAAGAAACACGATCGCACGGGGCCGAGCGTGCAGACTCTGCGGTTAGACTGTGTGGGTACAATTCCTGGCTCTTCCCGTGACCCTGGGCAGGTCACCTAACCTCAGCTTCCTCGTACGTAAAGTAGAGAAAATATGAATCCAGGGTAGGTGTGAGGGTCAAACGAACTGCTATTAAGACACCATTTCCAGCAGCGTAGGCTGCTCTCCTAGGCTCTGCACCCCCTTCCATGTGAGCCCAGCAAAGCAAGGAATTGGCGCCACATTTCACCCCCGACCCCTACCACATGGGTAAGCACTCTCGAGAGAAAGTTTTTATTCTCTCTCTTTCTGGTTTTTGGTCTTAAATATCAGACGGAAAAGTCTGAACATAAATTCTATTTGCATCAAAAATTCTACACACAAAATTGTGTCTAAACAGACTCACCCACGCTCCTTTGACAACCTGCCTGCATTGTTTTCTTCACGAGTGTACCCCTGGGCACCCTGAATGAAGCGGTTTTAAACTGCTGTTAATTTCCTTTCGGAACTAGTTTGATTACGCTGTCATTGCAGCGAAAGACCAGCAGATGGCTGTCCGCAGAAAGACACCGATACCTGCAGTGAAAGTCTTTACAAGACAATTTTTAAAGAACTACAAAAATTCATTAAGAAAGGCTATGGATACAGATACTGAAAACACTGAATTTGTACTGGTCTTAAAAGTATCTTTAAATTTTACAATGAAACGGATACTGAATTCCGTTTTTCACGCTAAAATCTTCATCGCGCTGCTGGAAGAAGTATCCTACCCAGGCATAACTCTCCCAGAGGGCAATTTACTTAACACCAAAGTATTTAAAACATGCTTCTTCTTTGATGAAGTGTATCTAGGCGTCGATCTCAGGCAGCAAGGCTGAGCTGAAAGATTTATCTACAGCAGTGGTTCTCAACTGGGGGTGACCTTGCCTCACAGGGGACATTTGACAATGTCTAGGGACATGTTTGACTGTCACCCCCGGAGGGGAGGGGTTGGTACAGGCATCGGGTGGGTGGAGGCCAGAAGTACTGTGAGACACCCTACAAGGCGGGGGACTGCCCCCTCGACAAAGGAGCATCTGGCCCCAAATGTCAACTGTGCTGAGACTGAGAAACCCTGGTCCAGAAGCAAGGCCCTCAAGGTGCTGTTCCTGAGAGTGAAGAAGGGAAAAACACCCTTTTTCCTAAGTCTAAAAAATAGAGGACTAGTTCAATAAAGTATGAATGACCCTTCCATAAATACCATCATTAAAAGGAATGTTGCAGAAGTATATTTATTGTGACAAAGTGTTCTGTGGATAAACAATAGAGTCTGAACCCACGTTCTAAAAGGATGCATACATACCCGAGGGCGTAAACAGGTGATTTATCTCTGAATACGGCATTCTGTGTTTGACTCTTGTGCTCATTGTTAAATTTTACTGAAATGAACATCTTACAGCTAATTTTAGAGTATTACGTTTTAACTGATATTTGGGGACTACTGTCACTGATAACTTTCAAGAGGAAAATAAAACAAAATGTTTAAAAGTAAACCTTCTACACTTTAGTGATGTTTTTCATTGCATTTGTTAAATATCTCAACCAGCTGTTTCCTTCGCTCCAGTCACATCAACAATTTTTCCCATAAATGCTGGGCCATATTTTGCCTTTTTCTACACTGAAATTCTTTTTCTATGGTCAAAGAAGCCTAGGAATGGATGTACCAGATTTGTTACTGAAAAAAAAATTAACAAAAGTACTTGTCAAGCACTCCACGACTGAATGCCTGGTTGTCTCTGAGCATCAGGAAAGTCTGAGTGCTGCTACAAGCTTTCTCTGAAGATGCACACTCATTACTAGTGCAGTGGTGGTTGTCACCGTCCTCACAGCTCAGGCAATTGTATTTTTGTCTGTTTTTAGCTGGTGACCAGGCCCATACGTTAAAGCCCCAAGTTATGAAGTCTCATTTAGGTTACAACCAGTAAAACAAGAATGCAGGTTTTCAGATGTTCTGCTGCAAATTCTACTCATAAGGTATTTACAGCCAATGGACGACATTTTTAAATAACTGAACTGGAAATTATCCGAATTTTAATATTTAAGTTAATTATTAAAAGGAAGCAAAACCTAGTAGACATCTTTTGTGAGCCAAAGAAAGCCAGGTATTAGTCATGCCCAATTATCACCAAAGAAGTAAGTCAATGCTATTATTTGATATAAGTTTCAAGTATAATTTCCTTCCAAGGAACAGAAAAGAAAGGCTCCAGGAAGGCCCCTCGTTGGAGTGGTCAGAGCTCTGTCACTCACAGTTCTGTGGGTCTGGGCCAATACCTCGTCTGCACTCAGGGTCACCTGTAAAATGATACGAGGTTATTTATTGTTGCTTCTGCCCTGTATCAAAACCCAACTCACCTGTCTCGTTCTATGTAACCACTCTGTCATCTTTAAGTGTACGTGACCCCACCATCTGTCCTGGCTACCTGGGGCACTTGCCCACTCCTGGTTTTCTCAGCGTCCTTTGTCCCTTATCTGATTGTGCATAGACGCTTAGTATCAGGGAGGTCTTCACAGGCCTCATCCAATGTTACTTTATCCAGACTGGGAGGAGATGACACGTTTCAGAAGCGGGTGGACAGCCCAGGCCTCGGATGCACAGCACGGCCCAGGGTAACCGGGCGGCCTGGCTTTGCGCCCTCCCGTTCCGGAGGGAAAACCCATGTTCAGCTGCTTTCCAGAAACAGACTGCAGATGCTTCTGCTGGTCTGGGACGCCAGAAGATGAACTATCACGAAAGGATGTTTCAGGCTATGAAAAATAACTGCTAATGTAAAAATCGCACGCCCGCGTTATCAATTTTTCCTAATATATCTACGTGAGTTGAACTCAGAAAAGTTACCCGCTTGCTCAGAGCACGGGCAATTCGGTTTGTACGGGAAGCCGGCTTTGCAGAGTAGAAGCACCAGAGTCCCTCCGACCTGGCGGAGGCCGGCGGTCGGCGCGCCAGGCAGGGGAGTTTCTGGGGTTTTGGGTCGGGGCAACTTCTCCCCATCATTCCCG